AAGACCAGAATGATAAATCCAAGGGCTTCCAACATAATGACACCCTACATAATTGCTGCCCCACGAGACGTGCCTACCTCCAGTTTCATGTTCACCACCACTGTGTGCCCTCATGGAAGTAACCCATCTGTCATTATTTCAGAATCAGGCAACTTGAACGATTCTAAAACTCCAAAATGTTTGGTCTGAAAACTTAAATCGACCTAAAAAGCAAATTGACCTGGAAAATGTCGTGTGATTTGGTGACAGCATCTAGTAACTGTAAGATTCTGTGCATTTTATCTAATTATGAGATGCAGGCTTTTCACAGAGCTTTATTGCTCATAAATCATTCCCTCACTTAGAAATCATCAGTATGTACCAAAGTACATCGCACTGCAATCTGCTACAAATTCAAGGGCAGCAAAATGTGCTACCAATAGAGAATCAGGGGAAAGAAACTGAATCAGGACAACTGCTAGACTTGACATTGCATTACTGCGTATTTTCCATGGAAAAAAGTTTGGTCAAGGAAGGCACCAATTCGTGACTTGATTACATCATTCCCAGTGCAATTAAACATGGACTACTCAAGCTTTTCTTCATGGAGCATCCAAAAATTAGATTTTGTAGAATTTATTAATATTAATAAATATTAATTCTAATTTGCTATAATTAGAATCTGTAGATAAAAGGTTTTGCATAGACAGTATATAGCCGCTGCTCCTGGTAATGCCAAAAGCAAGCAACTACTGATCTGTCCAAAGAAAGTCAAATAATACCATGCCTTAGACCTTTATTCATTAAATAATTAGATGCAGGCAAAATTCAAATGCAAGACTTTTTAGGTTAATTAAACCACTTCAGTTAATACCAGGCTCATTTTCCTTTTTTCTAGAATAATGCTAAGCTAATGAGGGAAGGTAGGAATATAATAACAAACTGGAAGAGTGGCACATTTCTCTTTTGGCATGCCCTGTATTTTTGAGCAGATATTTTAAATTTAGCTTAAGCATGACCTAAAAAAAAACAATCAGTTTTATCTCCTTTTATAACTGCTGTAACTACGTAGAGACGGAAGGGAACTCTGGTCAATTTTTTACGTTCTCTTTGCCTTTCTCAGATAAGATACAATAACCTCCTAAGTCCAAATTGGGATAATCGTTGTTTAAACTAGCAAGACAAACCCTTGCCTAGGCCAATTTAATTAAAAGATAGTACTTTCAAAAACATTTTTTTAAATGTTTATTTATTTCTGAGAGAGACAGAGACAGAGTGCCAGCAGGGGACGGGCAGAGTGAGAGGGAGACACAGAATCCGAAGCAGGCACCAACCTCTTTCAGCACAGAGCCCAATGCGGGGCTAGAACTCATGAACCATGAGATCATGACCTGAGGCAAATTCGGAAGCTTAACAGACTGAGCTACCCAGGCGCCCCCAGATGCTACTTTAAAAACAAACAAACAAACAAACAAACAAACAAAAACATATGTTTCACTCTGAATGAGTGTTGCCATAAGCAGCAATCCCCTCACACCTTTTGTAGGAACATCCCCTTCAAAAGAGGATGGAGGCTAACTTGGGGGTATATACTCCTCAGGGAAATGAAAGGCTCCGAATGCACACTGGGAAAAAGAACTGTCCTGAGGGGTATGAAATAGGAATTTTTGCTTTGGAATCTCCAGGAAAAGCAACTATTTGCCCTGTTTTATGATGATTTAATGGATGATGGGCAGAATTTAAATTTGGAAAGCAATGTTTCCTGATGATAGAAATGGCATTGCCACTTATGACACTTTAATTAGAAGTTTCCAGGCAAATATTATGATGCCCTATGTTCATTGCTTTTCATGTTTTAGAAGTTTACATATATTTAAAGACCTAAGTTCCAGGGGCGCCTGGGTGGCGCAGTCGGTTAAGCGTCCGACTTCAGCCAGGTCACGATCTCACGGTCCGTGAGTTCGAGCCCCGCGTCGGGCTCTGGGCTGATGGCTCGGAGCCTGGAGCCTGTTTCCGATTCTGTGTCTCCCTCTCTCTCGGCCCCTCCCCCGTTCATGCTCTGTCTCTCTCTGTCCCAAAAATAAATAAAAAACGTTGAAAAAAAAAATTTAAAAAAAAAATAAAGACCTAAGTTCCAGGGAATGTTTCAAAATTACCAGTTGGGAAAAAATACATTGGCCCAATACACTCCATACCTTTTTTTAAAAAAATGTTTATTTTTGAGAGAGAGAGAGAGTGAGCATAAGTTGGGGAGGAGCAGGGAGAGAGGGAGACACAGAATACGAATCAGGCTTCAGGCTCCAAGCTGTCAGCACAGCATCACCCAAGGCTCGAACACATGAACCAAGAGATCATGACCTCAGCTGAAGTCAGACACTTAACCGACTGAGCCACCCAGGCACCCCCAATATATTCCATACCTTAATGAAAAAAAATGAAATAACATATGGAAATAAACTCAAAAGAAAGTCCCAACACTCATATGATCTAACATTAATGCTGATTATATAATAAAGTGTAATAAGAGAAGAAGGTCAATACCTCTTATCTTTTTTAGGTTGGGATTTAATTCAGCTTTCCAGGCCAAAATTTACTTGTAAATATGTTGAACAAAAGCAGGTATTGTCGTTTTGGCATATGTCACCAATCACACTTAAAAAGATGATTTCCCCTGGGGTACCTTTGGTCTATACTTGGAAGAAGAGATGTGAATTTGAACCTCACTGGTTGTATCTAAGCATCTGGCTCAATGTCCTTACTGGATCAGCATGAATTATTCAGCTTATTCAATCTGCTTTATTGCAATGGAGTTATCTACTCTGTGCATGATTTGTGGCTGCTAAGAAGCTCTACGTTGAGATCCATATTGGCTCCCAGACATTGACAGGTGTCAGTGTTTCGAACTAAAAGCTAATTATTAGGTCACACATAACTGGCTGTGGAAGGAAGATGGGCTGAAGGGAGAAAGCTGCATGTATTCAAAGACTGCTTATAACACTACATGGTCTAACAATGGATACACATTGGAAAGAGAGTAATTATTAAAACCCAGAAAGATGATGAAATCTTGGATTTATTCATATCAAGCCTCAATGAATGCATGAAAATGTTAAGAATATAATATTTTGGTATTTGGTGAGTCAATTCTTTATTTACTTGGGTCACATTTATTAAATATACTTATCAAACAATGAATAAATTTTAGATGATGGCCTGTCTTTATAATTGGTCTTATGTGCTGTAACTTTCTGGAAAAAAAAAAAAAAAAAAAAAAAAAAAAAAAAAAAAAAAAAAAAAAAAAAAAAAAACAACACTGGATTTATTCTGCTTGCATTATCTTCATTGCCAACACACACAGGAAAGAAAATCATGCTGAGTAAATTTGCAACATGACATCCTCTATTTTTTTACTCATGAAATTGTTCCTTCAAAAAGTAATGCCTATTTTTTTCTGTTAATCTGCCTAAGGTGTGCTATCATCTTTTAAAAGGAAGTTGTGAAAAACAGGATTCCAAATTACCATAATACGGCTTGAAAACGGCGACAAAGAAATATGACTATCTCCCTGTAGCAACAAAAAATTAAAGTTTTGAGATCAAAAGCCAGATAGTCTAAAAGATTAAAGCATCCTTTATTAAGCTGCGCAATAAACGAATTTCGACCAAAGATGAATCCCTCTACTCTTGCCACGTCATGGACAACTTTTGTTCAGGTATGCACCTGTTTTCATAATTCTAGGACAGATAAGCTCATTTCTAGTTCACAAAATATCCGATCAGTCCACATCACAGTAGTTGGGAAGTTAACGTGGTCCATGGATGGGTAAGTGACGTAAACTGGCAAGTTAGACTTAAGAGAGGGCTTTTGTAAGATGTTAGGAAGGAAGAATTTCTTCTCTTCCTCCTAAAATATGACAAAGACCCCTGACATATTTCAACTCTGAGGGGAAACAGCGTTAAGGCTGATACTAAAAACATCGTATTCCAGAAGCGTCTTTATTTTCCGCTGTAGTTCTGATAAATAGGGATTTCCTTGGAAGGCAGAGAGCTTGCTGATGCAGGAGGCAAACCATCCCACTGCTTCAACATTCTGGTTTATGGTATGTCCTGGAGGAATGCTCAGTGTGAGGAGAGCCTTAAAGGGCTTGGCCATGTACTGGGTCAACGGGACACTCCATATACGGTCTTGGGGGGACCACAATACATCCTATGAAAATGCGTGAAGTACTATTTATGACCTGACTATGATAGTGAACTTGGAAAATTCTGGCATATGCTCACTGTAATCTTCTCCACACTCTGTCAGAATAGCTACCCATTTCAGTGAAATGAGTTGGGATGAAATGAACCACTGCTGCATTTTAATTCTGAGGAACATCTGATTTTGCCATTATGTACTGTTGTTTATTGACACATGACATTTCCACAGACAAAATCTTTCATTACATAGCTTGAACATATAATTGTATAGTATAGAAAATAAACTTTTTGGTATTGTTCTCAGCATTTAATAATGTAAAACTAGTGACAAACATCTTTAGAAAAAAAATAACAAAATAGTCCTTCAGTATTAAAATTTCTTCCTAAAAAGCATCGGGTCGAAGTTGGGGGGGGTGATATGTTATTAATGCATAGATGAGTTAGGCATGAATAAAATGAATCTAATTCCATCTCTTATACTAAACCAAACTATTTGAAACCTGCAGATCACTGTTTATCACAGGTCAGTTAAACACACACACACACACACACACACACACACACACACACACACAGCATATTCAGCCTTTTCATGGTTCTGTGGTTTCTGGTGATGCAACTTTTTAAATAACATAAACCTGGGATAGAAACAACACACGGCATACTTACCAGGTGGTTTTTTTTATGCCACTTTGCTGAATGCAGAATTAATATATTTGGGCTTTTTATTGCTTGAATAGAAAGTGCTCCTTACTTATTATTTTATGTTTATAATATAGAAATTTAAAAAAAAAGCACAAAAAGTTTTTGAAATGGCATACATCACACTGTGGTAGTGGTTGATTTCCTCAAGATCGTCTTCTGTGGTTTTGGTGCAGTGGAAGGAGGCACAGTTGCAGGTCTGAGAGGGGGGAAGCTGTGACTGTGGCTTATTCCCAGTCCCCCATTCTCTAGGGGGAAAGGAGGGAGGTGGGGTGGAGGAGGAAGCGGGGGGCCTGGGTGAGGAAGCTTTCCCAGTGGGTGGACAGGTTCGCTGTGTAAGTGGACCTCCCTGTTTTTTATGTTATACCGGGGGTCGCAGTCCGGACAGTAGCCATGGTACTGCACTTTCTCATTAAACCGAACTCGTTCCCGAGGTCCTGCCTGGAGACATCTGTCTTTTTCAGGTCTGTGCATCAGAGGCTGTGCTGGAGCCTTGTCCAAGGTACCGGGGGGGATGCAGCAGACATCTCCGTTGGGAATTTTGTTCGGCGGCCCTGGCAAGCCTCCGTTTCGCAGAAGGGTTCCATTGGTCTTTAGAGGATTGACGGCTGGCACCACTCTTTGGGGGTCGTCACACTTCACAGGTGTCAACCGTGGGGGAGGCGGCGGAGGGTTTGGCTTTCTCAGGACGGTGAGGATAGCAGAGGGGTGTGTGGGGGGTTTAATGAGAGGGGCATTGGCCTGCACTTTGATCTTCTCTATGCTCGAGGCCGTCGTGCCGCTGGAGCTACTATTCAGGGTGTCCGTCTTGGAGCTGTCGGTCATCTCATCCTCCAGCTGTAGGTCAGAGGTCAGGGTATCAATCTGGTCAACCACCTGGTGGAAAGGACAAGGTAACTGTGGTGAAGAATGACCCGAAGCAAAACATCCTAGAAACGATGTCTCCCTGTCTAGCTGTAATCGGCTATGTGAGTCTTAATGAATACTGGATTGTGGATTCCACTGTTGCTCAATGTTACCATTAAAGAAATTTATAGAATGGTTACCATAGGAGCGTCGACTGTTTGATAACCTAAGGATTTCACATGCCTGCCATATAATATATGACTTACGTACACATTCTATTCCCGACTCTGCTGAACCCACCAAAGATAAAAACATAACTGATGCACAAACATAACTTATTTTTAATATCAAGGGGCAGGGACTTTCTCCCGGCTCAGCATGTAGAAACCTATGGGACAAACACTAATCTCGTGCTAAAAATGAGAAAAGCCAGCTACTCTGCAAAATCATCACTTTTCTTGAGACCATCACAGAACTGAGATCACAAGGATTCCCAATGAACTGAACCGGAAAGAGTCCCCAGCCCTCTATGGAGAGAAAGGACACAATGACTGCTTCACCTTTGGCAAATCACAGGAAACAGGCAGCCTCCATGAAAGCGAGGAAACAGCTAGAACTTGAATGAATAATTAAAGGTGGCGTATGTGCTATCATGACAATTTAGAATCCCCAGGAGCTCAGACACAAAACAGTCTGTCTTCACTCATTCCATGGGCCTCTCACATGGGGTGATGAGGGTGAGAATAGAATGAATGAGTCCCTCCTGGGCACACAGGCATAAAACCCCAGGTATTTCCCAGATCTCTGTCCCTTATAAAACAGATCACTTAAGCATTAAAGGAAGAGGTTAAAAAAAAAAAAAAAAAAAAAAAAAAAAACACCTGTAACATCTAAGACACAGGCAACAGTTTCCTGCTTCTGAGAAGGGGTAGGAACCGCAGCTGTTTGACTTTGGGGAAGGGGACAGGAACTTCTCTTGGACCCGGGAACTTAGGCTACAGATGTGTGCTATCACTTGGAGGAGGGACTCAAGTCACAGAATCTCGAGACCTGCCCTAGACACAAGGCAGAGTCAGGGGCGTCAATGAGTCTTGCAGAACCATCAGACCATGATGCATGCCCCTACCTAGTGAAGGAGAATTGATGTGAAGACAGAGAAGTCGGAGGGAGCATCTAAGGCAATGCAGTTCTAAGGATGTTTGCCAAGGTCACCGGGGGGTCACGGTGTTAAAGCCACTCATGGAAGGAATCTAGCATCACCCATAACAGGCTTGCCTTAGGGTCTCAGTCCTGTCCAGTCATTGTCTGGGGGGCAGCTCGTGGGAAGCAAAGCATGTGCTCAAATGCTGGGTATCAGAACACAGTCATTTATACTCCCTGGGTCAGAGGTCTCCGAGTCCATTCTCAGGGTTGCCATCAATGAAGACGGAAAGGTTACAGATTACTTTTTAAATAATTCATTTTTGTAGGGAGATAGTCTTTTTTATCTCACATCTCCATATGCAGATCTTTCTCTCCTTATTCGGGCCTAGGTTTGTTCAACTGTGAAGTTGGCTCTTTGACACATGGTGGCAGAATTGGGCTCAAAATGAAAACATCCGAAGCATCCAGAATTTAGGGAAGAGGTAGAGATTTCACTTCTTCCTCATGAGGGTCTTAAGTGACTGCTTCTTGCTACTGCTGCCAGAGCTCAGCCTTCTATTTTAGCTCCTAACTACTGTATATGTTAAATCCACTTCTCTGCATTTTCATTTCTTTGGTCCTAGTCTGAGCCACCATTATTTACCATATGGGCTCTCCAAAGTCACCTTGCTTCCCCTTTTCATTTCTGTAGCGTCAGTGGATTTTTTAAAAATAGAAATGTGCTCTTGTCGACTCCCTGCTTAAAACCTTTCAGTGCCTCTTTATTTCTCCTGTGAGAAAGACCAATTCTTAACACTGTCTCCAAGGTCTTGTATAGTCTCACTTGGTGTTGTACTGGTTAATGTTTAACAGCTGGTTTTTACAGGTATAAGGGAGTTCTGATTTGAAAAGTGTGCCAATTTCCTTGGTGTAAACTCCCACTGTGGTCAATTTCAAGTCAGTAAATGTGACATCACTGTGTGTGAGGTTGGAAAGCAATGCACAGTTGCACATCATTATAAGATGTTTCTACCATGCGGACAGAATAGGCAAAAATAAACTCAGGAGAGGGGCGCCTGGGTGGCTCAGTCAGTTGAGCGTCCGACTTTGGCTCAGGTCATGATCTCACGGTTCGTAGGTGTGAGCCCCGTGTCAGGCTCTGTGCTGACAGCTCAGAGCCTGGAGCCTGCTTCGGATTCTGTGTCTCCCTCTCTCTCTGCCCCTCCCCTGCTCATGCTCTGTCAATCTCTCTCTCAAAAAATAAATAAACATTAAAAAATATTTAAAAAAAGAATATATAACCCCAGGAACACAAATAACAGTAAAATATAGTAAAATAATTACGAATGACTTGGGATAATTAGAAAACCTTTATTTTTAATGTAATTTATTTAATATGAGTTTATATACTTCTATTTTTAATAATGGGTATTTAGCAGGTGGCTCACACAAAATTTCTGAAAATATAACACTGGTCCTTTTTAGCCAGTACAAGTCGCAATTGTACTGTACAGAGATAACACATCACCACCATCTCTCCTCTTCAAATGACTACCTCAACTCTAATAAATCCCCCTTTTTTAAAAAAAATATTTATTTTGGGAGAGAGAGTATGCACATGCACGAGCAGGGGGAGGGGCAGACAGAGAGAGGACAGTGAGAACCCCAAGCAGGCTCTGTGCAGTCAATGCAGAGCCCAGTGTGAGGGGCTTAATCTCATGAACCATGAAATCATGACTTGAGCCAAAATCAAAAGTTGGATGCTTAATCAACTGAGCCACCCAGCTGCCCCTAAATTTCCCTTTTCCTTTCTGTTCTCAAACCTCTTGGGTCTTCTTTTAGACCCTCATCATTGCCAGTCTGCTTCCTGCCACAGGACATTTGCACATACTAATTTTTCTTCTTGAGATGCTGTGTCAAGTCACAATAAGTCTTTGTAACAATACTACTGCAATTTCCTACTACTACTACTACCATCTGACTGCAATTTCCCATAGAGTTCATGTTAATTTGTTAAATATTCCCAGGAAACCCTATTTCTTTCATTTAAAGCATTCACATACTTGTTGATTGTTTAGTAGTAGGAAGAGTATTGAAGAGTCTTCCCTCTCTAGACTCTAATTTCAGTGAGATCATAGACCTTGTTCGTTTTTACTCTTGTAACCTAAAGGCCTAACGTAGTGAATGGCACTCAAAAGGGGCTCAATAAATACTTGTTAAATAAATGCATCGGGGGCTATTTCTTCAGTTTAACAGTGAATGAAAACATGTTAGATCTTATTTGATTCCTGAAGTTGTTATTTTTAAAAGACACATCTGCTCAGTTATTCTAGAATAAAAGAGGGGACAAGGGATCTATACAGAAATGATCCAGAGCTGGTTTCACATTCTGCAGCTCTAGCCCAGACACCCTGGAAATTCAAGTGGCAGGGCTCCTAAACAATGTGAGAGACAGAGGGACAGTTTCGGCTCACAGGCACTGTATGCTATTTAACATGGGGAGACTACTGACCCTGAGCCTTTTATCCCATTAAATATCTGCAGAGAAGGAAGGAAAGCTGGTCTACTCTGAAGGAAGTGAAGCTCATAGTCAAAGATGAATTAGTACTGCCCGGGTCTCTGATACAAGTGAAACCTTGATTGACAGTAACCTGTTTTGCGAATGTTCCTCAAGACGAGCAAACATTTCTAATAAATTTTAACTTGGTAAACGAGAGATGCCTTGCAATACGAGCAGTATGTGATGCCGAATGTCACATGATCACAGCTGGGCCAATGGTTTTTGAAATTTGCTTTGATAGACGAGTGCTTTGGGTTACAAGCATGTTTCCAGAACAAATAATGCTCACAAACCAAGATTTTACTGTAGTTTTGTAGCTCCTGCCTGGTTTTAGTCTCTACATTGTTATTTCCTGAGTGCCTACAAAATGCCAACAGAAAAACTAAAACCGACAAAATGTAGTTGACCCTTGAACAACACAGGTCTTAGGGGTGCTTCTTTGCACCCACCATTGACTGGAAGCCTTACTGATAACATTAACAGTTGATTAACATACAGTCTGTATGGTATATACATTATATACTGTATTCTTAGAACAAAGTAACCTGAAGAAAAGAGTTTATTAAGGAAATCCTAAGGAAAAGGAAATACATTTACACTATTGTACTGTACTTATTGAAAAAAAATCAGCATCTAAGTGGACCCACATGATTCAAACCTGTGTGGTTCAAGCGTCACCCTTACTGCTCTCAGGGAGCAGGGAATCTAGTGCAAGGGCCTGGCTTTAATTAGATACTCAAACAAACAACGGTCACAGTACAAATGCCCCAGGAGTTCTGAATGACAAATCAAGATACTCTAAGAGGAGAATAAAAACACCTCATCAGAAAAATCAGCAAGGCCTCCTGAAGGATGAGTGGCTGTTAACTAGTAGGAGAGGAGTGATTCCAGAAGTCCACTCAGGAAAGAGCCTGACAGAGGTCCTTCGACAGAAGACAGCACCTGAGGGTGAGCAAAAAAAGAATACTCTAGGCTGAAGAGCACCGTGTGAGGCCTGAGAGCTAGCTAGCAGTCAGGTGGGAGAGTCCTTGCCAAGTGCTGATCAAGTATCATATTTTTCAAGGGTTCCAGAAGTGAGGGAAGCGATGTTCCAAGAGACAATGAATGGCTATTTTTCAAGAATGGAAGCATCACCTGATTCAAGAAGTACACAAACTGAAAGAGTTTCAACAGGACAATAGAAACAAACCTACAGTCAGACATACCATAATGAAAACACAGAACACAGAAGGGTGGAGGTAAGGGCAGGCTGCCCAAAAGGAACCACAATGGCAAATTAATTATTTTGCATCGAAGCTACTTGGGAACTAGCCCAGTGATTACTTGGGAACCAGGCCACAAGGAC